ATGTATGTAAATTTCCCTATTATTTATGCTTCTAATATGTTTTCTTCATTTTATATAGACCTATATTACACAAATATGCAAATGAGGACGTATCTCTTGGTTCTTGGTTTATTGGGCTGGAAGTTGAGCATATAGATGACAGGAACATGTGCTGTGGAACTCCACCAGGTGCAATTTCGTTTCCTTTGATTTGTAATATGTTGTCCTTAGCAAGTACCTTTTATAGTTTTTGTCGGAAACCTTTCATGATCTTCTTGAAAATTTGAGTTGTCCAACCATATGATGTGTTTTTCAATTACATGGATTTGAGACTATGGGTTGTGCTACTGTAATTATTATGTAGTTATTGCTCTTTCAGTTTTAAATTTGTTATATTTCCTATTAAAATTTTTCTTAAAATTCTATAAATTTTTGAAATAAAATATTCAACAAATTATCTAATTCTTGTCATATAATCAGAGCTCTAAGCTATTCTTTTTTCCTTAGGATGACTTGTGGTTTCATTCCTTTCCCAAATGTTCACCCTTTTATTTTTTGTCTTGTTGAAGCCTGCATTCTCTTTCCCTTTTCCTTATTTTTTTTTTTTTCTGGTTTTCTTTGATTATAATCATAATTTTCCTCTGTATCTGTGATAAAAACACTACCCACATTCCCTTGGCCTTAGGTTCTCTTGGGATTGAGGGATAGAATCCAAATTCAATGGGAGAACTTCAAAACATCCATTCAACATATCGATTGAATAAAGAACAATCTAAAATTGTTGCAATTGATTAGTCTGTTCTTCAAGGGAAGAGAAAATCTTGATCATTTATTTGACACCAAACCTGAGCAAGGAGATCCCACATTTATATTTGGGACAAACATGACTCTACGGTGATGATTTGTTTATGAAACTCTATGGTTCTTGAGATAAGTGATACATGCATATTCCTCTGTTCAACATAGGAAATATGGGATATGATGAATCAAATATATTTTAGAGTTTGTGAAACTACACAAATCTATGAAGTTAAGAATAAGATCTCATCCACAAAGCAAGGAGAATGATCCATAAAAAAAATATTCCAACCTATTGCAAAATATATAGTAAAAGATTTATCAATATTAATGCATTCAAATGGAACGCAATAAACATGCAAGTTTTGTTGAAAAAGGTTGCATATATATAATCCTTGCTGAAGTACACGTTGAATTTGATTTTGTAAGAGTACAAATTCTTGGAAAAGATGATTTATCCTTAATAAATGAAATCTTTTCCATTATCTAAACTGAAGAACGTGATTCATGATTACCAACAATCCTACTGAAGGCTAGACTTTAGTTTCAAAGGCTGCCAACATAAAGAACTCTAGCTCAACAACCTCTGATGTTGTGGACCACAAGCAATCTACTCCAACAAAGATGACCAATAGAGATACTCTATGGTGCACATGCATTGTAAAAAGGCTTAACAAAGAATGAAAAGATTTTGAAAACTTATTGCCAAACCATAATATCTAAATTGGACAGCACAAGGAAGACAAGCCAAGGAGCAAAGATATGCATATATGCAAATGTATCACATAAGGGAGAAGTTAACACCCATAAATCACCCATTGAGTTTCACAAAGCTGAAATACTTATTCGTATCATTGGAAAAAATATCTATAATAGATATTTGTATTCTAGTATTCTTAGGTATTATTTCCTCTTCTTATGTCTTTGAAGTTTCAAAGATACTCATTTTCTCTTGGATCATTGATTCAAGAGTTACAAACCATATACATAACTCCCCACATTAATTTATTTCATACATTTTTTATCCTAGCAACAAGAAAATAATTATTTCCAATGGATCATTAATGATTATTGTTGGTGAAGAAAAAAATCTTATAAATATATCTCTTACACTTCAAAATATTCTCATATATTTAAATTGTTAATCAAATTATTATCAATCCAAAATCTAACAAATGAATCTAAGTGCAGTGTTATGTTTTATCCTTCATATTGTGTCTTCAAGAACAAGGCTCAAGGATAATTTGACTTGCTAAGAAAGGAATGGCCTCTACAATCTTGAGGACTTTGTTGATAAAATAAATTTTCATAATAAATTCAATATTATATCTTATTTTAGAAATCTAAATCCAGAAATCCAATAAAAAAAGATTTGGCCCCAACACCCACATTTTGTTCACTAATGACTTATTGTTCTCAAGTATGTTTTTCCTCTATTATTAAAAAATATGAATATTAAAAATTTTCATTGTGAAGTTTGTGAATTAGCTAAACACAAATGATATAGCCCTACTTTTTCAAAGGAGTATTCCAAAATAATATTGGAGGAAAATTATTTTATCAATTGCTCAGATCATAAATAGGTTACCCATAAAGGATTTTGGGTTTCAAAAGTTCTATACTATTTCTAATTGATTTTTTTCTCACTTTAACACCTCAAATAATCTTATTCACAAAATATTTGGGGGGTTTGCCTTTGTTCATCTCAAAAGTTAGGAAAGCTTGATCCATTGGCTGTTAAATGTATTTTTATTGGTTATTCTCTTATACCAAAAGGGTTTAAGTGCTACCACCCCTATGAAAAAGGTGTATATGTCCGTTGATGTCACCTTCAATGAAGAAAACTATTTTATTACTATTTATCTTCAGAAAGACTTTATTGCTACTTACCCTAAGACAGAAAAATCATTTACAAATGATGAAGATATATTTTTTCTGCTTGATTACCCTACCATGATGGCAAGCAACTCTATCCCTACACTAGCTACTCCTACCCAAATCAAGTTCGTACCTATTGTAATTATACTTCAGTTATTTCATTTTAGTCCATGATTTTGTATGTTTCCCATTAAATGCCTTTGAATGATTAAATAAATTCAATTGAGTTGTGTCAGCAGGTACTATTTTTTCATGTTTTATTTAGCTCCATTATATCATAATTAAAAGCAATAAGCTAGTTAGGCACCATTTGACACTTTTTTTTTTTTTTTATATCAAAGTTAAAAGCTATATGCTAGTTATGTACCATTTGGTTATACTCTTCCAATTACTACTAATGCTCGTTAATCATCAACGTTCCATCATATATATATTCCTAATAACTTCAGTAGATAATGATACATTTTCACAATCTTCATGATACTCATCATCCGATGTTTCATGAGCAACAAATATTATTTTACAATATTTCAATCTTTTTCTATTCTTCTCAATTGATCGCATTGGCCTGAAAAATATCTCCATGATTGATCTTCTAAACATGAAATCAATTGACTCTTTGATAATGATGAGATTTTTGTCAAATGTGTCCTCCATTTTCATTCTCAACTTATTTGTAAAAATTTTAATCTTGATTCCCTTTTGATTAACATAATCTTGAATTGCTTTATATATGGATGGATGCCTCCAAAATTTTGATATTTATCTAAATCCCAGTCAGTATGCCATCTAATCAAATCTAAATTTTTTACTTCTATGCCTTCTCTTTAAAGCTAAATAAACTTCTAATTTTCAGATGAATCTTATATAATACTTATAACTCCGCTAACTATGTTCTTCTAAACAAAAATTTTCCTTTAAACATCCAGGCTTTGTTTGTTTGAGCGTTTTTTTGCCTTTTCCGTTTTTGGAAACGGAGGAATTTTTTTTTGTGTTGTTTGGTTCGTCAAATCACGTTCCCAATAACTCCTTTTTTTCATTTTTCTATAGTTTTGAGAAAGCTTTTTATATATGCTTCTCCGTTACAAAACTCCATTTTCTAAACTAATGTTTTTTAAAACTGTCTTTTACAAAAGCACTAAAAAAACAAACAAGTGTGCCATTTTGGAGAATCTATCGACAACCACCATTATGGAGTCCGCTCCCCGTTTTGTTTTTGGCAGTCCCAATATGAAATCCATGCTCAAAACTTCCCAGATTGAGTTCGGCACTGGTAAAGGTGTATACAATCCGGTGTTTTGGGCGTTACCTTTATACATCTGGCATATTGGACATCGTTCCACAAATCTAATTACATCTCGCCGGAGGTGAGGCCAGTAGAAACGGCTTTGCATTTGCTCCAGAGTTTTGGCTCTCCCCGTGTGGGCAGCCAAGCCACCACTGTGAAGGTCTTTAATTAAGTGTTCTCGCCAAGATGATTGGGGAATGCAGAGGAGATTGCCTTTAAATAAGTAGTTGTGCCGAAGAGTGTAGTCTTGAACAGCTTGAGTTTTATCCTGTGACAGAGCATTCCAGATATCGGCGAAGTCGGCATCGGAGGCATAAAGCTCCGTGAGGTACTGAAGACCTTGGTGATCAGTTTGCAGTTTAGTGATTAGTGCAGACCGCCTGCTGAGAGCATCGGCGACTCTGTTCTGTGTACCCAGCTTGTGTTTCAAAACAAAGCTAAATCGTTGTAAGAATGTCACCCACCTGGCGTGCATTCGGTTGATATTCTTCTGGCTGTTAATAAACTGTAAGGCACGGTTGTCACTGCTCAAAACAAAATCCTGATGTATCAGATAGTGTTCCCACTGCTTCAAGGCTCGAACTACTGCATATAGTTCTTGTTCATAGGCGGACCACTTCTGTCTGGTCGGACTGAGCTTCTCGCTAAAGAACTCCAGGGGTCTATCCTCCTGTGATAACACTGCAACGACCCCGACGGCTGAGGCATCAATATCGACACTGAAAGGTTTGCTGAAATCGGGGACGGCTAATACGGGAGCAGTGGTCAGCGCCTCCTTGATGTTGTCAAAACTTGTTTGTTGTTCCTGATTCCAACTTAACGTTTTGCCTTTAAGGCAAGCCGTGAGTGGTGCCACCAAAATGCTGAATCCCCTCACAAATCTGCGATAAAAATTCGCTAAGCCAATGAAGCTTCGCACATCCGAGATTGTTTTGGGAGTTGGCCAGCCCGTGATTGCCATAATCTTCTGTGGATCCGTCTGAATGCCATGACCGGAAATGATGAACCCGAGGAAATGCACCGATGCTGTTGCAATCTCGCATTTAGAGAAATTCAAATACAATTGGTTGGCTCGCAGGATGTCAAGAATATCCCGAAGATGGATGAGGTGAGCTTCTAACGACGAGCTATATATAAGGATGTCGTCGAAATAAACGACACAACATTTTCCTAGGACTGGCTTTAAGATTTCATTCATGAGCCTCATGAATGTAGCAGGGGCGTTGCATAGCCCGAACGGCATCACGCGCCATTCATACAGTCCATCCCGAGTTTTAAATGCTGTTTTCCACTCGTCTCCCGGACGGACTCGTATCTGATGGTAGCCGTTTCTCAAATCAAGCTTCGAAAAGACTACAGCCCCAGTGAGCTTATCCAGCATATCCTCGAGTCGTGGCACAGGGAATCTGTACTTCACGGTGATCTTATTAATTGCCCGGCTGTCGACGCACATCCGCCAACTTCCGTCCTTCTTCGGTACAAGCAAGGCAGGGATTGCACAAGGACTCAAGCTCGGTTGTATCAAATTCTTTTGTAACAACTCTACGATACCTTGAAGCACCTCATGTTCCTGCGGGCTCATCCTGTAGTGCGGTAAATTCGGGAGTGTGGCTCCAGGCTGCAATTCAATCTGATGTTGCAAGCTGCGGAGAGGGGGTAAGGTGTTTGGCAATTCTTCCGGCCAGACGTCTCCATACAACTGTAATAAATTTTGCACCTCAATTGGTAGTGATCGGAGTTTATCCCCATAGTTCTTCACTGACACAATTAAGGCCAGCATATTGGCTTCCTCCTTCCAGGATTCGACAATGTTCGGTCCAGATACCATGTACATTGCGGTTTGACCCAGCAGCTTCTGAGTATTATCCGCAGGGGCGTGCGGTAGCAGTCGTATTTTTCGATCTTTCCATTCGAATGCATAGGTATTTAAACGTCCGTCGTATACCGCTCCAGCATCGAATTGCCAAGGTCTTCCGAGTATTATGTGACATACATCCATTTCTAAAACATCACACAGCACTTCACACATATAATTCTTCCCAATTGTAAATGTCACCCGGCACATCTCCGAGACGAGAATTTCCACTCCTTTTTTCACCCAACTGATCTTGTATGGCTGCGGATTCTTCGTTGTCTTCAGTTGAAGCTTTTGCACCACTGAACGGGCGATTATATTCTCAGTGCACCCGCTGTCGATGAGCATGTCACATACCTTGCCATTAATTGTACAACGCGTCCGGAAGATGGCGTGTCGCTGGGTATTAGTGGTTTGTCGTGGAGCCAACAGCAACTTCTCCAGTATGCATACCAACTGTTCCCCGTCATCCGCTTGAAGGTCTTCAAAATCTTGTTCGTTTACATTCTCCCCACAGTACTGATCCTCCTCTTGTTCTCCCTCAACCAAATGCAATTGTTGTCGCGTAGGACAGTCATTAGATTTGTGCCCCGGCTGGAAACACCGGTAACATTTGAATGTAGTCGGTTTAGCATACGGATTAGCATCCTTAACGGGAGGTTTTGGACGCAGCGGAGATGCAGATTTGGGTTCCGGACCGAGGATGCCCGCACCACCCAGAGGTGGAGCTGCCAATTTGTTACTGCTGCTTCCAATTGGTTTACTAGTTTCTCCGCTTTGCTCAACATTGTGCCGGTTAACTATGCGATTTCTAGGATGTCGGCTGAGCTGCATTTCGGCTTTAAGCGCATAGTTCACTGCCTGTGACAATGTCCAGACCGAGTTAAGTTCTAGCTTATCCTGGATGGCTTCCCGCAGTCCGCCTATATACCTCGCGACGAGCTGGTTTTCCGATTCGTTCAGATTGTTGCGGGCACTCAATCTATAGAAATCTTCAGTATACTCGTTCACTGTCTTCCCCCCTTGCGAACAATGCTGATATTGAACATACAGCATTTGTTCGAAATCAACTGGCAGAAAGTGTCCGCGGAGCAGGCGTTTCATCCGGTACCAGCTGGTGATGCCGCCCTTTCCTTCTCTTCGCCGGGATTGCAACAGCTGCATCCACCAAGCTCCGGCTCCCCCCTTTAAACGACAGGCTACATATTTAACCTGTTTTTCTGGAGCGATTTCCATATAGTCGAAGAATGCCTCAACTGCTCTTTCCCAGTCCAAGTATTCTTCGATGTTAAGACGGCCTTCAAAGAACGGGATATCAAGCTTGATGCGAAACTCACCTTGCTGCTGGTGATGTATTGGCCGTCGACGGGGTTCATAATACATCTGATGCTCTTCATCGTCTGAGTCGGATGCCTCCCGATGTTGAAACTCTGCTTCATTCTCTGAATTGGAATCCATGTGGGAAGCGGCTACCTGTCGCCGATGTCGTAGTTGTTGTGGATTCGTAGCAGGGATCGGCGTCGCGAGACGAGCGCCCATTGGTGGCGGTCTGTTGGTCCTCATCGAACAAAGTTCTGTTCGTATCTCGGTAGAGAATCTGACGAACTCATTGGTGAGTGATTCTATTTGGCGCGCTATGTTTGTCTGAGCATTCAAGAGGGCGTCCAAGCTCCGATCCTCCTCCATAGTAGGTCGCTTGCTACCTTCCGCCATGGCTGCTCACGTGCCGAGCTCTGATACCAATTTGGTGTGGAAACCTGCAAGTAATGAGAGAAACTAAACAGGGAAGAGGAAAATAGTTAGAGGAACAAGAAGTTTTGAGAAGAATAAGCAATCCAGAGAGAGTTAGAAGAGGAAGAGGAGCAAGGGGAGAACTCATTTTTCGGGAATACTATATAAGTAAAAACAGAACTATCGCCTCCAGTGAGGTATTTCCCTATCTATACTAAGAAGAAAGCTGACTAGGAAAAAGTAATGCTGCCAAAAGTCTGTAAAATAACAGAAAGTAAAAAGAACTAGTGGAGGCTGCAGCGGACGTGGCTAGGAATAATGGGACTAGGAATAGTCATCACATCAACAATCTTGAGGAATTTGTTGATAAAATAAATTTTCATAATAAATTCAATATTATCTCTTAAAAATCCTAAATCCAGATATCCAATAAAAAAATGATTTGGCTGCAACACCCACATCTTGTTCACTAATCACTTATTGTTCTCAAGTCTGTTTTTCCTCTATTATTAAAAGATATGAATATTAAAAATTTTCATTGTGAAGTTTGTGAATTAGCCAAATACAAATGATATAGCCCAACTTTTTCAAAAGAGTATTCCAAAATAATATTGGAGGAAAATTATTTTATCAATTGCTCAGATCATAAATAGGTTACCCATAAAGGATTTTGGGTTTCAAAAGTTCTATTCTATTTCTAATTGATTTTTTTCTCACTTTAACACCTCAAATAATCTTATTCACAAAATATTTGGGGGGTTTGCCTTTGTTCATCTCAAAAGTTAGGAAAGCTTGATCCATTGGCTGTTAAATGTATTTTTATTGGTTATTCTCTTATACCAAAAGGGTGTAACCCCTACAAAACAATTGTATATGTCCGTTGATGCCACCTTCAATGAAGAAAACTATTTTATTATTATTTATCTTTAGAAAGCTTTTATTGCTACTTACCCTAAGAAAGAAAAATCATCCACAAATGATGAAGATAGATTTTTTCCGCCTTGATTACCCTACCATGATAGCAAGCAACTCTATCCCAAAATTACAAAAAGGGTGTAATTTTGATATTTCTCTAAATCTCAGGCAGTATGCCATCTAATCAAATCTAAATTTTTTACTTCCATGTATTATCTTTAAAGCTAAATAAACTTCTAATTTTCAGATGAATCTTATATAATACTTATAATTCCGCTAACTGTGTTCTTCTAAACAAAAATTTTCCTTTAAACATCCAATTTATAATCTCTAAAAGATCTCCTTAGCTTCACTCTCAATGCATGATACATCTAATTTGTTTTGAAGAACATTTTTATCTATTTTTATCCTATCTTTATAGTTAAAGCCTATTCCACAAATACTTGAGCTTTAACCATGCTTGTGCTCAGTGTCCTTTTTGCAAAACCTATTGTTCTTAATAATCATCATATCTCAACAGTTTTTTTTTCAATTATTAAATATATTTTATTCATAATAATATTTTTGTATCACCTAACTCTGCTAACATATCCTCTTCATTCTGTTCAATCTTTTTACAGATTCTACTAGAATATCCATGAACCCTTCGCTGCTCTCTTGAAACTATACCCTATATAAATGCCTTGAACCAAATTCTAATTTTTTTTGCTTTTAATTCTTTCTTTATGTCCAGATTGTGAATGGAAAGCCCAAGCAGGAAATGTATGTATTGCATCATTTGACTGGAGTTGCAGTGGAATTTGCAAGTCAGTTGAGAGGATAAAGGATGTCCACAAACGTTGTGGGGAAGGAGATGGATCTGTATGGAATTCTCTCTTCTAAGTTCAATCCAGGCTTTCAGTTCCTGGCAGTTCCCAGTCACATGTTCATTATCTTCACAACAGCATACTATGCAATTGTAACAAACATTCAGACTGAAGAAAGTTTACTTTCTCAGTGTCAAAAATAAGATAGCGACACACAGTTGATGCTTAATACATGCATTGCTGTTGATTTCTTAGATGGTGGTGCAGTGTTGGAGAATCATGATATTTTGAGCCATTAAAATGGCTAACAAGGAGCTTCTTTTATTCATGTTCAGAGTTCAGTTTTTACATCATGAAATCAATAGTTTTATAATAGGTTTCATTTACTCTTTCATGTAGGCAAGGATATGCCGTTAAAGTGTAGCTTTTGAGCTCCATTTCTGCCATATTATGTACTTGAAGATGTATGATTGAGTTAATTCTGTTATACTTCTAAAGATTGAAATTTTTTGTTGTTGATATCATTGCATTGCTAGGTTGTCAGCTACTATTGTAATCTTCTCATAAAACTATTCGATTGTTGAGAATTTTTTTAAGTATGGATTGTGAAAAATTATATCAGGACCTTCTGAAGCCAAAATGCATTAGTTTAATCTGTAATAAAAAAATTTAACGATATTTTGTAAGAAGAAATTACACGTAGCATTGTATTCATCTTTTGGTTTCAAAAAAAAAAAAAAAAGGTTACATTGTTTCTGTGGAGACTGGAGTTGTTCAGAATTAACAGCCAAGTTGATTATTTCTTACAGTCTTTAAATTTCTGCTGCAAATGTGTGACAGTTCTGCATGCGTGGGGTGATGTCATGAACAATAGCAACATTAATGGGCTGTTTGGGCGCAAAATTTAAGCCGGATTTAACCTAAATCCTACCAAACAGCAGAGAAATGACAACCTACAGAATCCTAAATTCCGTTCCTTCTCCGTTCTGCCTTAAATCCTGGATTTAGTAAATCGGATAGTTTGGCGAATTAATGGGATTTAGCCGAAGAAGAACGCGAAAGGAATGAAGATCGTTACCTTCGTGGCGAGCTCCCATGGGGGCTTTGGATCCGACAGGAACAACGTCGTTGAAGGAGGAGAAGAGGCTTCCTTCAGCGACTCTTTCACTACTCTACTTAACGCGAATCAGGCGCAGTCGAAGCAGCGTCGAAGAAATGGAGAAGAGGAAAAGCAAACCCTAGACACGCCTAAGGCTACAGGAAGAGCATAGACAAAAGCAGAGGAGAAATTATATAAATAGAAAGGCAACGGGGAAGAAGATTATCGTCCACTCCGTTTTGCACCTAACAGCTTTTCTCATTTTTCTTATTTATATTTTTTCTCTTTATAGATTACAGTAATAATAAATCATGTGGGAAAGAGAATCGGCAATTAGATAATAAGAAAATTTAATTGATATGATTGATGTTCAGATATACATTCAGATATTAGAGATCTAATAAATATTTTTTAATGTTTCTGTAGCTTAAAATTTTATTAATTAGTAAGTAGTAATGATATTAATATATTATAAGTAACGGCTTAATTAATCTAATAATGATAAATAACTTTTAAATTAGAATTAATAATATATAATTATGTAAATTATATATAAATAAAGTAAATTTTAATAATTGATATTACAGAACTTAGAGAGAAGCTCTAATATTTACTGTTTCATCTCTTGATTTCCTAGTTATAGGTAATGGTAGGTTGAACTCTACAAGAAAGTTATATTTGAGTACATAAATAGAGTTGTGTAGCAATGCTTAATCATGTTTGTTATAAAAGAAACAAGTCTAGCAAATTTTTAGTTATCTAATAAAAGAAATAACTATTAATAAGCACAAGTGTCTCTTTTCGTAAATGTGATTATAAAGTTGGAAGTTACAAAATAACGTCATATCATAAAATGTTTATGAAAAATAATGCAATTTGAAAAACAAAATAGTGAGAGAGCTCTTCCAAAGAGACCCTAAATCAATCTTGCACCTTGCATACTTTGAAGGACGAGAGAATACTTGTGCTAGCTGTCTGTCTAGAAGCCTATCTTCGCTCAATTTGGCTCACTGGAAAGCTTGGAAAATGGGCTATATAGCTACAGTATTGCTCGCAGCTCCTTTTAGGCTATATAGAATCACCTTGGATCTATTAGTGGATTGGAACCGGGCTTTAAGTGTGATCCATATAACAGCTGTGGAGTCAAGGTTAACGATGTATGGTAGCATCGACGAGGAGATGGTGGAGCATATTGCTGCAGCCAAATTTTGATCGGTTAGAAGCCATTGAGTGTAGAGTGAGTTGGAAATGGAGAAGTCGTTTGGTTGTTGAACAAGCCGCGCTGTCGGAGGGAATATTGGGTCAAGAAATTTAGCAAGTCCATTAGCATGAAATTTTTTGGTAATCTGAGATCTCCAAATAGAATAGTTGTATGTGGCGAGTTGAGTGGGAACGAACGATGTTCTTGAGATTTGAAACGATGAACTTCAAGGTCGACGGAATGAATGGTTCTTCTAGGGCCGCCAGATCCATGTGCTCTCCTAACTTAGAAGTGACCGAGTTTACCATTGAGCATAGATCCTTTAGACCTGCTCTCTGATATCATGTAGAAGAAGGAGATCTTGTACTTTTTCTTGATAACGGTACAGCCAAGAAGATGATAAGAGGAAGAATAGAGAACAAGACTAAAACATTAGAGATGAAAGGCTTGTCTCATTACAGAGGAGATAAAGATCGAGTATATGAAGAGAATGGACATGAGAACCAATTAACTAATGCCACCTCATTACATATGTACATAAAATAGCTACTAAAATAATAAGACGTGTCATTTGTCTTTATGTACTAATAGTCATCAATACTGTATACCCTTCATGATTTGATGTGTATTGATTATAATTATTGCAGGGCTTATGCTTCCTTTGAAATAATTTTTTTATTTTTTAAAATAATTTTATGGTATAATTTTTTTTTTAGAAATAATGAAAAAATTGTGGCCAAAAAACATTGCACACTCGATGAATTATTCTGTAATAAGAAGTCAGAGCCCAAATAATTAAGCAATACGTCCAGCTAAAAAAGGGATATATATACAACAACAAAAAATAGGTCAATCCATAAGAATAGATTGAAGAAGCTAACAATCAGAATGTGCAATCAGCAGCAATGAACAACAACTCAAACAAGCAAAACACTCCAAAAACAGCAAGCTAAGAAAGGAAGACAGAAAGGAAAGGAACCTATGGCCTATGGGCTTGGCTTTTCTATGATGGCTCATTGGAGAAATCATTATGTGCAGAGTCCGGACGCATCTGAACTCCAATAAAATCGAGCCACGTGGCTTGCATACAGGGTGTGTATTATACACAATGGGTATAAGTTGTATACATATTGTGTACAAATCGCGTGTGACTTGATTTTATTGGAGTCGTCCATATATACTCGAGCTACGTCCGAACTCCACACGTATTGAGCTTCTAAAGAACCTTGGTTGTTGAAAATATCAAGCTACTCGAACTAATAAAATATCGTCAGCTTGTTCCTCGCTTGGAGCTCGATCTGGAGGATTGGCTGGTTCGGGTATGGTTCTTGGTGAGAAGGTAGAGGCGTTTATAGGAATCGATGGGCATTTCTTTGTCTTCTCATTCTATACAAATATATATTAGAATATCATTGAACAAATTAATTATTATAATTGTATTTGAAGAAGATCTTGAACCTTCTGTTGCTTTCTTGAGCGCCTGGATAGTTAGAATCGAGAAGGGAAGAAGACAGAGAGGTAATAGAGAAAGAGGAAACAGAGCATGATGAAAGTAAGAAATGAATATTATTTCCCTTTACTTCAGAGTACAGAACTATTGAATATATAGACTTTAAGTCTATGGTAAAGAAGTAAATATACAATATTCTGCTTAAAGAAAGTACAATACGGAAAGTATAATAACTAATTTCATATTAATACATTTACTCATTTTGGTTCTCTAATAGTATTGATTCTAATTATACAAAAATATACTGAAAAATAATTATTTATCAGCTGAAACATTCTTCCAATATTAATGTTCTAATACTATTGGTAGTTAGAGAACCATGAACTAACAAATCTTCTATATTCTTCTTTGATTAAATAAAAAAGAGTGCCTTTTTCCATATATAGTTTACATGATCTTGATAGAGATTTCATTTGAACTTAGAAATTAATTAAGCAATCACAGAACATCAAAACTTCTGCACAGTGAAAATAACAAAATAAAGATTAGACAGAATTTTTAGATCTTTCTTCTCTGTTTTGTATAAGTATTTTCCCAAGAAAAAATAATTATATCTACAACTCTAGCTATCTTTTAAAATATAAGATGAATATACAAGAAAATGCTAATAAATTTTATGTCAGGATATTTTCATCCAAGCTTTGTTTGTGAAGATAGAGAAGGCAAACAACTGCAGTATCCAAATAAATTACTGATAGAAATATTTATGAAATGATAATCCAACGGTCATATTGTGTTTCATCAGACAACCTGCTAGAGAAAGAAAGAGAAAAAATCCCATAAATCAGTATATATCATATTGTTTCCAGCTTGCATAAATATAGAAGGAAAAAAAAATATTAGTAACAAAATTTGAATATTTCTTCTTGGTTGTACGCCTATATATATTTGCTGATAGATCTGAAAATAGTGATAAAATTGGATTTTTTTATTTTTTATTTTGCATGGGATGCGTGAACATCTAAACATAACATGAAGATCATTGTGAGTAGAGAAAGAAAGAAAAAACACTACAAGTACCAGTCCTCTTCTTCGATCACAAATGCGCCATGATCTAGAAAGCGAGGCGCAAGGAATGAAGCCTGGTCCGAGATCTTTTCTCCATGATCAATCTGGTTAAAAAACTCAATTAGGGTTTACTAGAAACCCTAATACATAACTGTTAATTTTTGACTGATTTGGAGCATGATCTTGGATCAAGCTTCATTCCAACCACCCACTTTCCTTTTGCTCTCCTCTACTCCCTCGATCTATCATTCTCCTTCCTCTCTTCTTCTAATCTCTCTCTAATGATTCTTCAATCACACTTAAGCATAGAGGCTATATGAAAATATTTTTGAAGGGATGGGATCATGCGAATAGGCCCATGGTAATATTCTAAGCACATGATGGGCAAGTCATGAGTATGATAAAATATTGGCAAAAGAGATGGGTTTTGGCGAAAGAACTTGTCTTCTTCTAAGATAGCTCTTTATGGGAGTGAGTGATGAGCTTTTTCACGTTATCTATCAGAAAAAGAGAACCTAAAAATAATAAGAGGGAAGAAATGGAGAGCATGGGAAGGATACCTTTGTTTGATTAAAATAAGAAAAAGTTTAGGTGGAGAAGTACTGATCAACGAGGAAGGGAATAGTACTATCTCTTTGGCTTGTAAGAGATGAAAGAAAGCAATTAAAGTAAAGGAAAATTGCATAAAGTGAGAAAACATA